AGCCCTCAAAGCCCGCCCCCACAGTGACACACTTCCTTCAACAAGGCCCCATTTCCTAATAGTGCTATTCCCTTTGGGGGACATTTTCTTTCAAACCACCCCATGAACTCTGCTAAAGACCAAGAAATAAAACAAAGTCACCTGTTGACTCGATAGTTCCTAGAACTTTTCTGATCTGAAATCATCCTAAGAGGGTGCGATGTCTTTGAATTTTGAGAAATGTGACATAAATCAAAACTATAATTCATAGTACATAATATAATACTTAGATCTAAACTTGGCCACTTTTCTATCAAAAATGAATAGGCCTTTCTTATTGGTATAAAAATTGGAATCATGACTGAAGAGATGGCTCAATGGATAAAGCCCTTGCCAAGCAAGCCTGTTGACCAGAGTTCAGATCCTCGGAACTCATGTAAAAGCCATATACAGTAGGACATACACCTCTCCAACCCCGTGTCTCTAATCTAATGTCCTAGTGTGAGTTAGGAGGCGGTAAACAAAAGATCCTTTCTCAAACAAGGTGGAAGGCATGGACAGACACCCAACATGGTCTTCTGACCTATACAAGCCTACCACAGACAGCATGCACATACCCACACTGACACAGAGAGAGAAAGAGAGAAAGAGAAAGAGAGAGAGAGAGAGAGAGAGAGAGAGAGAGAGAGAGAGAGAGAGAGAGAGAGAGAGAGGTTTGAATCAAGCAACCTAAATGCTTTTGGATAATCTAGATAATCTAATGAGGGAAATGATGTTTTTTGGGCATTGTTAAATTAGGATTCTTTTCGTTATTCATTCGAAGGGATGGAGATGTTACTTAAGAGATAATAATGGATCCCGATTTGGCACTTTCTTAAACCAATCTGAAACAATGAAATGACAGCAGTAAATCTGCCACTTGGAACCTTAAATGATTTACATTGCTCTGGGGCCTCAGTCTAACAGTTGGTTTATGATGTGGTTTCAGGGTAACACATTTAAGCCTGCTTTGCTCCTTCCTCCGAAGCTGACATGAATCCATAAAGCTTTTAAATGATGACTCTAAAATATACAAAAGAATTCTCTGAGGCATGTTTCAGATTGTTTATGTAAGATCTTTAGATTTCTGACTTTCCCTTCATGGTCTGCTGTGGATTCTGTCTCCAGGTTAGCAGATGAATGCATAGCATCATCCAGGCAGGGATCACTCAGCTACCCACACCATCTAGTACCGTTCTGACTCACCTTCTACTCCAAGGATCTTAAATCCCATATGCATATCACATGGAAGCCTATTGTAAGTACTGATTGTCTAGGCCCACTGAGTCAGAGCCTCTGAGTTCAATTCTGGACCCCAGACTGGGGAACCAGCATTTTAATGGGTTCTAATGGAGGTGATCAGAGATGTCGGGGGGCTAGCACTGCTCACCATCTACCTCAGGTCCTAGCTCTGGGGAAAAGATGCTCGGGGGGATCCTGGTACATAGAAGTTCAGGTCAAAGAGATTGCTACATCTGTAGGTGGAGGGCCATGGTGGCATTCACTGCGCTATTACCTCTGCTACCCTGACCCTCCCTCCCAAGCCCTCAACCTCGAAAAACCTGGTATGTCTGGCTGGCTGCATAGCCTCCTCTCCAGCCCACCTCTGATTTGTTTGAATCCCATGGATTCTGTTCCTCTCTCCAGCCTACCCTATTGTATTGCCCTCTTCTCTCTCATAGACCAGAGCCTGTTCTCAAAGGATGCCCCCATTCTCTGACAAAGCTCTCTATGTGAAGAGAAGCTCTCAGGGTATTTTTCCAGGCAGCATGTCCCACTTTCCCCTGTTCTGTTGTGTGATTCCAGAGGTCTGTCCTAGGAGCAGCTATGTGTTCCAGAGATTCTTAACTCCAGAGGGTGGAGATCTCTCCTTGTACTCCAACACCCATCCTGAAGCAGGATGGAAGCCTTGGGAGCCTCAAGGGAACCACAGATACATAAGGAGTGTGTGGACTGTGATGGGTGGGTATGATGTTTTGGCCACTGCAAATTCTCCATGCTGCTGTTCATTCTGGAAGCTTTCATGATCCCACCTTTACACAGCTTTACACAGCTTTACACAGCTTTACACAGCTTTACACAGCTTTACACAGCTATCACCTCTGGTTCTTCGGAGTCAAGCATCACTGTCTTCTCCCACAGGAAGTCTTCCTTGGCCCTAGACACATAGCAGTTGTTGTTGTGTTCCAGGGACCCTATGTACCTGATCCTGAAGCCCAGCCTGGAACCATGCACCCTGTGCATTCCTCCTTGCCTGATTATGCAAATCCTCCTCAAGATCAAGAGCTCCTTAAGAGCCCAGGTTGAGACTTCAGTGTCCAACACTACCTGTGGCATATAGTCAGCGCTCAATAGGTGTTTGCTGGAACACTGAGCTACTAACCCAAGCGGTAAGATGAGGCCTGCCCCTCATACCTTCCATTAGCATGGTAACACTCATCATGCTGTGCTGAGGATGGAAGTGTCTCTTCCCACATATATCACACTGCCATGCAGGAAGGTCCCTGGGGACAGGGACTGCAATACTCATCTTTGCACCCCTGTAAGCATGAATAAAATATATGTTCAGTCCTGTGTCTCCATGTAAGGCTACCTTGAGTATTTTGACCAAGGCAATCCTTAACTGTAAGATGTCCTCTTACACTGTTATCCTTTTATTTCTACTAGATGTCCTAACTACACCTCCCATCACCTTGACAATGCCATATAAACCTCCAAACACACACATTTGCAAATGCCCTTGTGGCAAAAAAGCCAGGAAAAAATACAGTGCTTCCTGTGGTGAGTCTCTAGAGTCACCTGGGCTCTTCACAGTTGAGTGAGCTCTGTAGCAGTTCCCCCTGTAGGCCGACACTGGAGTATGCCACGTGTGCAGTGGCAAGAGGACATCAACCACCCATAACAGACAGTCGCAGTCTTGAAACAACAGGGAGCTCATTCTTACTCAGCACTAGTGTTTCCAGGAGCCAGGCACTGTGTCACCCACACATGATTATTCAGTCCTCACAGCCACCCACCAGGACCCCGTTCACAAAGAAGGAAATAGAGAGTTTCAAGTCATTGACCCAAGTTAGTGCATTTGGCAAGACTGAAAGTCTCTCCAGGGTACCTGACTCCACTCTTCTGTAATTACTTCTTCAGGAATAATAAATTCCAGAGATCCCAGATGAAAGCATGTCACTAAAAACTAAAGTGCCAGGGTGGGCTCAGCAGGGAGAGGTGCCTGGGGACAGGCCCGATTATCTGAGTTCTGTCCTGGGGCCCACATGGTAGAAGGAGAAAAACTATTCCCACAAGTTGTCCTCTGATCTCCACATGTGCACTGTGGCACATAATATGCACACCCACACTCTCACACATGCAAAAAATAAATACGTAACGAAAACTATGGTGTGTGGTAATCAGGCTTGTACTCTTAGCAGTCAGGAGGCTGAAGCAGGAAGACAGCAAGTTTGAGAGTAGCCTGGCTCATACAACCAAAATAATAACTTTTTAAAAACTTGTCATGCCTATTCATTACAGCATGGAGTGGTGTTTCATGAAATTCGTTCTGCACAGTATTAATTTAGGATGGGCGTCCAGTGTGGCAGAAATAACGGGGTGCATCGACAATGGGGTTTGAGAAATGCTTTGGGGGTGTGGTCTGAAGAGAGGCAGGAAGCAGAGGCTGTGAAGCCCAAGAGCATCTTTAGGGTGGCTCAGCCTTCAAGTGACTTTCACTGATTTCAAGACTGTGGTTAGCAGCCAGCTGGAATCCACAGAAGGGCTTGCCTGCGGCGAAGTGATTACAGGGCAATTAGCTGATTAGACTGTGGGAAAGGGCTGACTCAGAGAGAGCCAGGGATCCCTCAAATAATTTCTTAGTGATAAAGATGGCAATACTAATAGGTACTGATCATTGAGTACTAATTACTCTCTTCTTCCAAGATGAGACACTGCTGCCGACGGAAGTTGGTTAAGAACTAGTAAGGCAGGTTGTTGGGGTCTAGCCCTGACCTCTCGAACAGCCCTTGAAGTGGGGAGTGAGGAATTGAGAAATGCTAGATAGGAAAAATATATAGACATTGACAAAGAAAAAGAGACACAGGACAGCTTTGGGAGGGCCCTGGGTCGCCTCGAGTTTATTCCTAATGGGCTTTTCACACACTAACAAGGGGAGAGGCAAGAGACCTCCCCCTTTCCAGATCAAGATACAAAGTACAAACAAGTGTAGACCCTTTCTTAATTCCCAAAACACCCGGTAACCTTGCCTTATGGCAAAGCATCTTGTAATTAGGCCTTGAAGCATGAGACACCTGGTAACCATGCCTTTGGCCAAAACATCCTATTATGCAGCCTTGCGGGGCAACACGAACTGACTCTCTGACTTTGAGTCAAAATGGAAACAAACCTCAAGTTGGAATCTTTGTGGGCTCCCACAGCAGGTCAGGAACCACAGAGCTGAACCTGAAACCAGGTCTCTCTGACATCCTGTCTTGTGATTTGAAACCCTCAAAGCTTCCCAAGTCTTAGTGCCTATTGAGGGATTTGCTATTTGGATATCCAAATCAAATCCAGTCTCAAGGAGTATTTCTCTTTGGGCTTCTTTAAAAAGTTTGTATTATAATTCTGCCCTCATTTTCAGTAGTCTCTTCAGCCAGAAAGCCAATGAGTATTATATATTAATTTTTCTAATATGACACTAGTTCCTTGACTTTTATTTCTTGGGGTTTTTTGTCTAGGCAATGTCTCGCTATGTAGCCCAGGCTACTCCTGCCTCAGCTTCCTGAGTGCTGGGATTATAGGCATGCACCACCACATTAAGTTTTTTATTACTATTTTTTTTTATTTTACAGGTTTCCTGGCTCAGCTATATGTCATATTTTTTGATAGAGTATTTTATTTGTATTGATGACAACAGTTCAACCTAAATTCAAAGCGTAGCTAGCGTACACCTCGGATCTCTCTCATCATTCTTCAAATTTGTCTTTCCTTCTCAACAGATGTTGGCGCCTTTTTTGAAGAGGGCATGTGGCTGCGCTATAACTTCCAGGCCCCGGTGGTCACTGCCAGAGACACAGGCAGCAGGGCCGAGAATTCTGCAGAGCAGCCGCCCTTGTCTCCAGACCTGGCTCAGGAGCAGATCCACTTCAGCTTCAGCACCAACAAGGCGCCCTGCATCCTCCTCTACGTCAGCTCCCTCACCACTGACTTCCTGGCTGTGCTGGTCAAGCCCACAGGTAAGGACAAGCATGCCCGGCCTTCTACCTTCCAACAGTAGTCAGACCGAACATGCTTGAGTCAGAATTCCTCTTGGTGGAGGATTCATTCTCACGGGACGCTGAGCAAATCATCTGATTCCTTTGACCCTCGTTGCTATCTGGAAGTCAGAAGAACCGCTTTTCTGTTGAGTGCCTACAGCAACAATTTGATGAAACACTTCAGGCTCTTTTTATATTATCCGAATATGAGATGGATTCATATGTAGAATGATTCTGTTTGTTCCTGTTAAACAAATATCTTTGCCACTGTGCTAAACAGTGGCACGCTCAAAGTAGTGAAATTAATCATAGGTTAATGAATGAATTGTCCTGATCTGTGATAATGTATCAATAGACTCCAGTGAAATGTAGAAACTCTCAATGAAAGCAGAAAATCAGAAATATTTCCATCCTTAAAGCCTCTCTGAATTTTACACTCACAAATATATCCACGGAGAGATAGTTGCTGGGAGCACAGGGCATGTTTTCACTTGTGAATCTCTGCAAGTCTAGTTAGCCTTGAAGTCCATAAACCTCTCTTTGAGATGGGGTGGGGGTATTGCATACAGATGTGCACACATGTGAAGATCAGAGGACAACCTCGGGTGTCGATCCTCACCTTGCCTCTCCTTTGAGACAGGGTCTCTTATTGTTCACCATTGCATATGCCTGGTTAGCCCAAGAGATTCCTGGGATTCTCCTGTCTCTGCCTCCCTTCTCACCATCACCATCTGTGCGACCAAGAGCTTGTGTCTATCCACTGGAACACAGTGGGCTCCTCAGTGGGTACAAAACTGAAGAAAATGTCTGCCCCTACCTGGAATCCATTGGTAGTCTATAGTTCAGCAAAGAGGCGTAGGCAAGGGGGCCCCTCCTGCTCCATGATTGACTGTTGACATCAGGGCCATCTTGATTATCCTCTGTACACTAAGCCAAAGGATCCAAGTGAGAATATGCAAATGACTTTGACATTCAACAGTGCTCTATAAAGAGTCTTACTGGGCCAGAAGTATACAAATAAACATGCTGCATATGGAGGAATTTGTTTCCTCTCTCTCTAAAACCTGTGTCTATATGTATTAATGCTTAAGAAGATTGCTTTTTATAAATACAAGTATTTTAGGTGTATGAAGGAAAGTCTTTAACTCACTTCCTATGGAGTGTGTGGGTTGAAAATATAGACTTTCTCTCCTATTGGCCATCTCTTCTTAATCTTTAATGGACATTCAAGTGTTGGTACATCTTAGAGAACAAGATTTTTATCTATGAGAATCAAAATATTATCACAGTTGAGCTAAATATTTGAAAAAAATAGTGAATTTTCATACACTCACTGGGCAATGCACTGTCAGTTCAAAAAAAAAAAAAGATGAAAGAAAAGCATGTGTCCCAGAGCCCCTGAGTTTCCCTTTTCAGAATTTATTAATGAAACAAAGCCCCAAATCAGAGTCTTCAGCGAGAATATATTCATTGTAGTATTGCTTACGAAAATAAAAACTGGAAAGAACATACAAGGTCCACTTTAGTAAAGTAATATAAAAGAGAACCATTGGTTTATGGGTCATTATATGTCCATTAAAATAGTGTTTGTGAAAAATAATTAAAGACATAGGGGCAGTTCACATAACATAAGGTTATACAAAGAGGAGGCAAGACACAGCCTTAAATATATCATATCAGCTTAGCTCTATCAAACAAACATGAACAGACCAGAAGAGCACAGACGGTGGTTAGACGTGCATGATTTGTTTCTCCCAAGTGACACCATTCTATGCATGTCAGATGCTCAGACACTTTAAGTACATGTCACTTTTCTATTAAAAAATAAACAAGTAGGGCTGGAGAGATGGCTCAGAGGTTAAGAGCCCTGGCTGTTCTTTCAGAGGTCCTGAGTTCAATTCCTAGCAACCACATGGTGGCTCACAACCATCTGTAATGAGATCTGGTGCCCTCTTCTGGTGTACAGGCAGAACACTGTGTATATAATAAATAAATAAATCTTTAAAAAAAAAAAAAAATAAATAAACAAGTAAGTAAAACCAGAAAGCAAGAGCTCAAGAGAGAAGAATGCTCAAGCCCCATGCCTCAGGAGTTCAGGCAATTACTGGCCTAGATCAGGCTCAGTGGGTTTTTTAATCCACTGACGTTCTCCCTTGTGTACCAGCCTCCTAGTAGGCAGACAGCCTGTGGCTTCTGGTGTCTCACAAGGGGAGGCTGTCACCTTGAGAGTGTCAAGAAGCTGATGAGCACGGACCACTGGACACTGTGCTGTCTGCTCCTCTGTCCCTTCCTTGCTAAAATTTTCTTCCCAGCTGTGCACGTGGTAATTCACATGCACGTTGCCTATGTCCGCATTACATGCATGGCGCTCCTGGGAGGGGGGGGGCATTTATCATGTGAGAGAGCTTCCTTTGATCGATTCTACAGTGATGGTTGCCAGTTAATGGTGCTTACCTGTGCACAGCACTCTCCTAAGTGCTCTGGATGCATTGATTCTGATGAGCTTCACAACTCTATGGGGCGATGTGATTCTCATCCTTTCCTCTGGGTGGAAAAGCTGGGGTACAGAAATATTAAGAGTCTTGCTGGTAAAGGGTAAGTGGGGGTGGTCTCTGGATGCAGGTGTCTGAATCAAGGCTGGGAGCCCTCCATTGCAGGCACCCCCAAAACAGACTGGATGTATTTGGAAATCAAAACCAGACATTTTCTTTGTGGGTTTTGAAAAACCATCATTAAAGTGTTGGGGAAAATGTGATCTTTCCACACTTAGTCTAAATAACACATCTTTTTGTTAACTGGAATTTATAATGAAAAAAAAAATTGAAGAAAGCATTCAGAAAAAAAAGGGGGAAAGCAGTAAGGTCTATTGTCTTAGTTAAAGTTTCTATTACTGTGAAGAGACACCATGACCACAGCAACTTTTATAAAGAAAAAACATTAATTGGGAGCACCTTACAGTTTCAGAGGTTTAGTCCTTTATCATCATGGCAGGACACAGCAGACATGGTGCTGGAGAGTGAGATTAGAGTCCTACATCTTGAGCCACAGGTGTAGCTTGAGCATAGGGGACCTCAAAGCCCACCCCCATAGTGACGCACTTCCTCCAACAAGGCCACACCCACTCTAACAAAGCCACACTTCCTAATAGTGCCATTCCCTTTAGGGACCATTTTCTTTCTAACCACCACATTTATGGATGACAGTATGGTGGCAGAGATACTAAACAAACAATTTAAAGACTTTAACTAAATATCCATCCTGGCTTCGTGAGACTTCACGTATTAAAAGCTCTTTCACTATTTCCCAGAATCAGCCTTTCTGAAACCTCCTTGTCCTGACAGCCACACCACAGCCTCTCAGAGGCCGTGTCCTCATCCCCAGCTCACTGTCTATCTTCCCTGCTCTTGTGGGCCATCCAGGCACATGAGTCCCATAGAGCCTACCCTCATGGTGACCCATGACCTTAGCTCCCACTACTGTTCTCCAAAGCAAACCTCTTCTAACTCGGGCTTCCTGATAGTTTTCACACTGTGACACCAGGGGAAGTCAACACACCAGAATGGCACAGAGTGAATGACAGGGTTGTGTTTGCAGCCCCCTCATCAGAGACGCCAGCTGTCCCACCTCCTGGGTATCTGCTGAGGGATGAGTGGAGCCATGCTCCTGGTACCTTGTCAGACTCCGATTCTGCCCTTCACACCTAGACAGGGCAGCCTTCCCTTACAAAGACAAATGCTTAGTAGGGACAGTGTACTGTAGCCATATTAAGCATTGTTTGCTGACCCACATACACTAAAAACACGAGAGACAAATCCCACAATCTTTCAGTTGAGATCCATCAGTCCTCTGGGAGAAGACCTGTCTGGATTCAAATTCTGATTCTCCCCTTTGCTGCTGCCTTAGATAATCTGTGAGTACTTTTTATTTGTGTTTCCTGATCTGTAAAATGTCATCTCTGCCAATGCATTAATGTGCAGAGGAGTGACCTGCTAAGTCTAAAATCTCTGCAGCACATACATGTAAGGTGTCTTAGTTGCTTTCCTATTGCTGCGACAAAACACTACAACCAAGGCAAGGGTTTAGAAAAAAAGGGTTTCTTTGTGTCTCACAGTTCCAGGGGGAAAGGAGTCTATCATCAGCATGGCAGCAGGCAGGGTGCTGGAGCAGTAGCTGAGAGCTGATAACCCAATCCACAAACAGGAAGCAGAGAGAGAACAATTTGGGAATGGAAGCTCAAAGCACCCCTACCCCTCAGTAACTCACCTCTTCCAACAAGGCCCACGACTTCTAATCTTTCCCAAACAATTCCGCGAACTGGGGACCAAGTATTCCAACAAATGAACCTATTCTGATTCAAACCACCCCATAAGGGTTAGGAGGTACTCTAGCCAGAGTCTAGCAATTCAGTCTATGCCTTCACATCTCTTACTCTACAATTTCAAGAAATCCATGCTTTAAAAGACTCTGGGGCTGTCTGTGCTCAGCTCTCACGCCCACAACACTCCCTGACCTGGTGCCCTCACTTTCCTCTGCAGTGTACACCTAGGTGCCTTCCACTATTAGCCCTGACCAGCCCCCGCCTCCTTCTGATGACATCTGGCTTCAAACACCCATTACACTTATTTCAGTTTCATTTGTTTGGCACTTAATGTATTATTATCTGTCTCTGTCATAAATATGCCCTGTCTTACCAGAGCTGCAAAGCCCCCAGCACTACATTTCCTGCCTACAGTAGGTGCCCTGTAAGTGCTTGCTGATGGTAGTGATGATGTTCAGGAGATCGTAAATCTGTTAAGCATGTGATTTGCTACAGCCAATAAAAGAGCAATTCCTTAGAATGGCTTTAATTCACTTGGGAGATGAACATGAGATAAAAGAAGGGAACTGTCTCCCTATTTGAATAATATTTTACTTTAATGGGTAAATAGTAACATTCTCCCCACCATCACTTAGTGGTCCTCCTCTGCTGTTATCTGAAAGGAATAAATGAATCATTTAAATGTTATTACTCGAATGTTGCCATAATTGTTTACAGATAGTCACTACCTATACATTTAAAGTTTCAGCTCATCCCTTCTTCTCAGAGCAAATAATTTCTGTTTATTATGTGAAGCACTTAGGTGAATTCTAAAACATATTCACAAAGCCCAAAGAATCCATAAAAAAGAAAGAAAGATGAAAAGATGGATGGCAAACATAAATGAGCCACTGATGAACAGTAGGAGAGACATGTTGAGGTTTTGCATTATCACCAGCTCCTCTGCCCTCCAGCCCACAGAGGAAGCCGCCTTTCTTTCACTTGTCTCTGTGTCCCCAGATCCGTACATAGCACCTGACCCATGCTGGGGATCTGGAACAGTTGTCACGACTGGAATTCAACTCTGTACCCGTAGTGCCACAGACAGCTCACGGTGGGACTTTAGGAAAGCCGTGCTTTGCATAGACACTGAGTATGTTTGTTCCAAGGAAATGAATAAAGGAATGGTGAATATGCACAGCTGCATATCTAAGACATCTAATGTCTAACCTGGATGTTGTATCACCCACAGTGCATGCTGGGCAGGACAGCCTGTATCTGTAATCCCAATGCCAGGAAGGCAGGGATGAGAGGATTCTGGTGCTCGCTGGCCAGTCAGTCTAGCCAAGTAAGTGAGCTCCAGATTCAGTGACAGACTCTGCCTCAAAAATTAAGATGGAAAGCAATTGAAGAAGATACTCAGGGTCAATCTCTGTCCTTCATATGCTTAGACATGCATGTGCAGATGCACACACACACACCAAACAAGACAACTTGATTTTTCCACATGTTACCAAGCTATGATTAACTATATCCTTAAACACAAATAACTATTATATCTTATGCTAGTAGGACGAAGGGGAAATCAGGGAAACACTAAGGGGAGGAGAGTGAACAGCTTGGGAAGGAGCAACTTCCTCCAACGCTCTGAGTAGGAAGGAAATAGAATTTTCTAGAGAACAGGAGGGGTCCAAGGGAGCTTGGATGTAAGAGAGAAAGTGTCACAATCTGCAAATATAGCACAGCAACATTGGGAACATAAACCTTCATCCTGTGAGCAACTGAAAGGCATTGAAGGATTTTAAATTAACCAGTGAAATAATCAAGTATGTGTTTTAAAAAGATCCCTCAGGTTCGCAAAGGAAATATTGGGGAGAAAGCACAAAGGCAGGGAGACCATTCATAAACATTTCAACAAGTGCCACTAAACAGGAAGTGTTCTAAACAGTGGCTAAAATCCCCAGAAGCAGAAATGGAAAGTCTTGCTCTCATGGAGCTCTTGCTGAAACAAGAGAAGACAGACAAATGAATGAGATGGAATCTAGAGAGTGTTGTATGGTGAGAACTGTCATGGGGGTGGAGGATAGGGCAGAAATGGAAGAGCCAGCCAAGGAAAAGGAGTGACAAATTTCCCCTTTTACGGAGAAGTCACAGGAATCATCACTAGGCATATGACCAAAGAGCAAATTGTTGGATGAGGGAAGAGTCAGCTATGCAGTAACTTGGGATAGAACATTCTAGACAGAAGAGCCCTGAGTGTGAAAGTCCTGAGACAGGAACTTGCTGGACGTCTGGGGAAGCAGCTAAAAGGCTGATGTGTACAGGTGAGGGGTGAGAAGGAAAGAAGTGAGAAAGTAGGCTAAAGGTGACAGTGGGAGTTCATGTAAGGCATAGGGAGTCACTGTCACTTTGAGTGTGACAGGAAGTCTTCATTGCTACATTATGAGCCGAGATTCACTCTGACCACTGTGTGGAAGTGAGAGGGGCAAAGGCCAAACTGGTGTAGGAGAAGGCGGGGTAAGAGCAGAAAGAGGGTTTAGTGTGGAGGCTACAGCAACCACCCAGGCAAAGGTTGTTCTGCAGGTAGAAATGAAATAAATAAAAAGTACTAAGATTCGGGGTCTGATTTCAAGATCAAGCCAAGAATTTCTTACAGTGCATGAAATATTGGAAAGGGAATAGCTAGGGTTATGACAAGAGTAACTGGAAGCATGAAGTGGCCATTCACCAAAGTGCATAAGATGGATGATGAGATGGAGAGTCAATGCAAGTCCAAGGTACCAAAGGGACAGCAGAAATATTGAGTTGAAGGTTGGAAGGAGTCAGAAGGGTAGAAGTTTGGCTGGATTACAAGTTTGAGGTCTGATGTGCCTGCACTTTAAACAAAGCTAAGACTGAGTGCAATGACCGTGGAGGTGGACATGGACTCAGAAGAAAGGATGGTAAAGGACTGTGCCAGCGAAGAAGCCAGAAATGAGTGAGCAAACCCAAGCAGTAGATGCTGGAAGCCCAGTGTAGATCACATGTCCAGGAGAAAGGCACATGTCTGTGTTAAATGCCCATCCAGAGGTCTTCAGGACCTGGAGAGAGCAGCCCCAGTGTAGTCAGAAGATGGTAAAACGCGTGGCTCAGGGCAATGGGAAAGGTACTGGACCACAGAGAGCAAGCCATCTCCTCTAATGGAATCTATGTGGCTCCTGAGATGGCAAAGAATTATGAAATGTAGACACATTCAGAAGACAACCATCATACGTGCTTGGTAGGAATACCATAGCAAAGAAATTTAAGATAAAATGTGAGGATAAAAACTCAAAAATAAAGCTGGGCGGTGGTAGTTTACACCTTTAATCGCAGCACTCAGGAGGCAGAGGCAGGCAGATCTGAGTTCAAGGCCAGCCTTGTTTACAGAGTGAGTTCCAGGACAACCAGGGCTACACAGAGAAACTCTGTCTCAAAAAACAAAACAAACAAACAAAAAAAAGCAAAAACCCTCAAAAATAGTAGTTTATTGAATTTTGTTCAGAAAACAAAAATAGGATACAACTAATTAATTCTTGATTATACTTTCAACTCCAGGAAAACAATTCTACATTTTAAATGGTATGTGTTAGGATGCCTAACTATGGAAGGGTGGCACTTTAAACCGTCACACTCATTTATGTACATGTGTTAAATGCGTGCATGAGAAAGGCCTGTAGCAGAGACTGCCAAGATGATTAGAGTAGTTAGTTCTCTAGATAGTCAAGTTTCAGGTCATTTTTAAGATTAATTTTTAAATTATGTGTATGTAGGGATGAGTATGGGCGTGAGTGAGTGCAGCTCCTGTCAAGTGCAGAAGAGGGTGTCAGATTCCCTGGAGCGGAGGCACAGGTGGTTATGAGCCACCCAATTTGGGTGCTGGGAACCAAACTCAGGATCTCTGTGAAAACAATATATACTCTTATCAGCCAAATCATCTTGCTAACCCCTACTTTCTTTCTTTCGATTACTTTACGGTTTTGATTACTGTAGCTTTTATCTTATAATTTAAAATCAGAACATCAGTTCTTTAAAAGAAAAATGAGAGACAACCAAGAATCCACTGGTGACGGGTTAATCAAACCCTTGCTAGAGATTGCTGGATCCATCTTTAACCTTTGAGATGTCAAGTATTATTAAGTGTATGAAACCAATTTAAGTTTAAAATGGGGAAAAAACATTAATGTTTATAAATTATAAATAAGGTTATAAATAAGAAATAAAAATTGTACTCACTTTGCAGGGGCGGGGAGGATGAAAAGACAAAGTGAACTGTCACTGGGCTCAGGACACCTGGGACATCCATCGTGTCCCTAAATTGCATTTGATTAGTCCTGAACCTTGGATACAATTCATTACTTTGTCTCTTTGGTCTCAGTGAGGCCACTCAAAATCCCATGCACTTATCTTTTGCAAATTATGTTTATTTTTAATAAGACTCATGATTCCTTTATATGCCACATGTCACACTTTACTGATGGAGCGAGATAGTCCCTGCACTCCAGATTTATTTTTTATTTCACGTAGCATTTTGTGGGCTTGCAGGCGTCTCCACTGTACTATATGGTATTTGTCCTCATTCTTCATTTTCAGACACCATCCCCACTGGGGACATTTGTACCATCTGCTGCTTCAACTGGGTGATAATGGCCACTGGTGTTTGTCATTGGCAAACATGAACATGTGTGATTCTGGCACTATTAGCCTAGGCCTCAGGGTAGTGGATCCCAATTCAAGGCTGGAATGGCGCCCATGGGCATGGAAGGGGCAGAGTCTATATGAAGCTGGAGCTGCGGCAGTGGGTGAGGAAACACTGAAATAAACCTCCAGCGAAAAAGCACTGGGCCTCTTTCCTTTTGCTCCTGTAGGAAACTTGCAGATCCGGTACAACCTGGGAGGAACCAGAGAGCCATACAATATCGACGTAGACCACAGGAACATGGCCAATGGACAGCCCCACAGTGTCAACATCACTCGGCATGAGAAGACCATAATTCTCAAGGTACTATACGTGTGCATACAAGTTACAGCATGATATTAACATAATGTTATAGTCTCTGTACCTTATAGTGCCTGGCCATTGCTTTGGGAGGATGGTTTTATTCTGGTTTTGTTTATAAAATTGTGAATCAAACCTAGGGCCTTGCACATGCTTAGTCAAGCTCTGTACCATTGAGATACATCCCCAGCCACTTTTTACTTTTTAATTTATGGCAGAATCTCATTAAGTTTCCCAGGCTAAGGGCTGAAGAGATGGCTCAGTGATTAAGAATACTTGCTGTTCTTCCTGAGGACATGAGTTCAGTTCCCAGCACCCACATTGGGTTCTGAATTGTCTGTAACTCTAGCTTCTAGAGAGCTGATGCCCTCTTATGGCATATGTGAGCATCTGCACACATGTAACACACACACACACACACACACACACACACACACACACACACACACATGCACACTAAAAAAATAATAATAATGAAGTTCCTTTGCCTTGCGCTGAGCTTATGATTTCCCTTCCTCAGCCTCCCAAGTAGCTACAAGCCTACACCTAGGGAATTGGGGCAGGTGGAATAGACAAGTAATATTATACTTTCTACTCTAAATGTTTAACTTATGAAGTATAAAGATATACACAGATATCACTTGTTATTCATGAGGAATTTGTTCCAAAATTCCCCATGGATACCCAAATCTGAAGATAGTCAAGTCCATTATAGAAGATAGCATAGAATTCACACAGCATCACTACACTCCTATCTACACACTTACAATCATCTCTATATTCCTTGCCAACTTCATACAACTTAAGTTCTGCATAAACAGTTGCTGTGCTATATGAAGGAATAAAAACAGAAAAATGTCATGTACATGCTCAAGACAGACAATCTTATTTTCAAATATTCCTGATCTAAGGTTGGTGGAACCTGAGGTTGCAGATCCACGGGGAAGGACAGTTAACTCTCATTTTTTAGGAAAGGCAATGGCAGCTAAGGTGAAGAAATCTTTTAAAGAGAAGTAGAATACATATTGCCTCTATAATCTTCATGGCCTCTTGCCTCATTTCTTAGCTATCACTTGAGCATCTTTCAGGCCTCTTCTTATCCATCCTATCATTTTTCTTAGCTACAGTCTAAGATATCTGAAGTTTTCCATGTTTCCCTGCAAAGGCTATTCTTGTCTCCCTGACCTACTTCTTTCATGACCCAAGTACAATATAAATAACAATATTGGGTTTTTTTCTTCCTCTATGGAGACATCCTTTAAAATCCTCAAAATTCACTCCCCCACAAAAAAAAAAAAAAAGTAAGGCCATAGTTTTTCAGAAGACCAACAGGTGGTTTTATTATTACCCTCAAGTTTTATTTCAGGTTCATTTACTGCCCCACCCCTATCACTGACTTTTCTTATAAAAGAAAGCAGCTGGGGAGACACCATGAATAAAACATGACATAAGAAGGTCTCCCTGGGAAGCAAGCCAGAAGATCAAGGAGGGGAGCTGTCACCGCACTGTCTAGATGGAGCGCCATACAGATACCTGTCAGGACAGAGAGCAGGAGGAGGCTGCTTTGGTGCAAAGCAGAGTGGCAAGTGGTGGAGCCTGAGCATCCTTCCCCTCCTCACCGGATCTGCCAGCTGCTGGGAAAGTCAGCGCTGCAAAGAAAAAGCAGAAGCCCTGTCTCCTTTGAGTGCTGACGGGTGTCAGATTTATAACTTGATGAGGGGGGTGCATGTGGCCTTAGCAGTAAATGCCAGAGGGCATTTTAAAAAGAGATCTTCCCCTGGAAAATGACAGCGTGCTGTTCCAGCCTGTTAGGCCACCTATCAAATGTGGCAGATGTGGGGTTATCTCACAGTGGCTGACAGAATCCTTGGGCCTTGCATGGTACCTGGCACACCTTATGTGTTACAAATTGTTGAGCAGATCAAGCCCGTCTTTAACCAGGACCCAAGCTTTATTCAGAAAAGATGGGAGAGGACTGGTGAGACCACCAAACTTGAGTACCTGAGTTCAATCCCCAATCCCACAGTGGAAGGAAAGGACCAACGCCTGAGGGTTGTCCTGTGACCTCCACACACTTACAACAATATGCACACATGCACACGCACATGCACACATGCACACACACACACACACACACACACACACACAAAACACAACACAATAATAATAATGATAATAATAATTTTTAAAGTCAAGAGATAGATGGCTTTATGCTTTTTTTATGGACAATGTGTTCATTGGCATTTAATTAAAATTTCTCTTTTTATATCTTTTTATTTTTCCTTTTTATCTGAATACAGTTTCCCCTTCCCTCCTCTGCTCCCAGTTGCTCCCCCACCTCCTCTTGCATCTAGATCTACTCCCTTTCTGTCTCTCAATAGAAAAGAACAAGCTTCTTGGAGGTAACAACAAAACATAACAAAATAAAATATAATAAGATAAAATGAAAACCATCATGTCAAAGTTGGACAGGCCAAGCCAATAGAAAAATAAAAGAGCCCCAAGAGAAGGCCCAGGAATCAGAGACCCACTCATTCACACATTCGGGAGTCCCATAAAAGCACTAAACTGAAAGCTATAGTATATATGCAAAGGACTTGGTGCAGACCCATGCAGGCCCTGTGCTTGCTTCTTCAGTCTCTGTGAGTTTGTATGAGCATTGCTCTGTTGTTTTAGAAGGCCTTGTTCTCCTAGTGTCCTCAGACCCCTTTGTCTCCTCCACTCCTTCTGCCTCTTCTGTGGGGGTCCCTGAGCTCTGAGGGGAGAGATTTGATGGATATATCCCATTTAGAGCTGTGTGTTCCAAGGTCTTTCCATATATCTTATTTTGTTGTGGTTCTCTGCATTTGTTCCCATCTGATGCAGGAGGAGGCATCTTTGATGAAGGCTAAATAAGGCAACAATCTATGAGTATAGCAGACTATCATTAGGAGTCATTTTATTGTTACATTTTTTTAGACCAGTAGGATTTGGTTTTATGCTAGGTGTCTGGGCTATCTAAACTCTGGTTCTTGGTCACCCAAGCACTGTTCAGTATGGGTTCCATCTCATGGAGTGGGCATTAAGTCAAGCTGGACATTGGTTGGTTATTCCCACAAGGTTTGTGCCACCATTGCCCTAGCATGTTTTGTGGGCAGGACAGATTGTAGGTTGAAGCTTTTATGGTTAGGCTGGTGTTTACTTTCCTCTTTTGGTAGCCTGCAGAGTACTTTTCCATGTCATAGACACTATAACATGGTGGTGAAGGTTCTATTTGGGCACCAGCTCAACCTCTCCATGTTCAGTGAGTCGTGTAGGTGTTGTGTTCAGCAATGGGGTCTTGCTGTCATTTTGTGGAGAGCAGCCTATTGTTTGGGCATCAGCCTGGGTTGTTTGGGGATTTTCATGGGATCCCTTTGGCCAACAACTCAATTGGATGAAACCCAGTCCCAGCATTGGAAGCTTCATTTGGTGACAAAAGATGAACGAATATAAGGAGTTCTGTCTCCCTCATTATTTGGAGACTTCGTTAGGAGACTTGATTTTCATATATTATAGGAAGTTTCCACTGCACTAGGATTCCAAATCACACCTCAAATGCTCCTCAAAAGCGCTTCAATTCTAGCTGTCTCTCCCCTCATTCCCTCAATCCCATCTTCCCTCCCCCTTCCCACCTGATCTTTCTTGCCCTCCCCAGCTCCAATACACCCATAACATCTATTCTACTTTTACCCTACCAGAAAGATCCATGTGAACCCCCCAGAACCTTTCCTCTATGTCTAACCTCTCTGGGTTTAATTATAGCTTAGTTATCATTTTATGTAATGGCTAATATCCAGATATAAGTAAATACATATCATATTTATCTTTCTGGGTCTGGATTACATCTGGATTATTTTTTTCTAGTTTCATCCATTTGCCTGCAAATTTCATGATGTCATTTTTTAACAGCTGAGTAATACTCCATTGTGTAAATGTACCACATTTTCTTTATTCATTCTTCAGTTGACAGACATCCAGATTGTTTCAAATTTCTAAATATTATGAAAAGAGAAACAATGAACATGGTTTAGCAAGTGTGTCCCTATGGTAGGAAAACATGTCCTTTGGGTATATGCCCAAGAGTGGTACAGCTGGGTCTTGAGGTAGATTGATTCCCAAATTTTCTGAGAAATTGCTGTACTGATTCCCATACTGGCTGCACAAGTTTGCACTCCCATCAGCAGTGGAGGGGTGCTTGCCTTGTTCCACCTCCTTGCCAGCATGAGCTGTCATTTGTGGTTTTGATCCTAGCCATTTTGACAGGTATAAGATGGAATCTCAAAGTAATTTTGATTTGCATTTCCCTGATGGCTTAGAATGTCAAACATTTAAGTGTTTCTTGGTCATTTGAGTTTCCTCTATCGAGATTTCTGTTTAGATTTCTACCCCATTTTAATTGGTTTATTTGTTTTTGATCTCTAGTCTATTCAGTTCTTTATACATTTTAGCTATTAGCCCTCTATTAGAAGTGGAGTTGGTAAAAATATTTTCCCATTCTGTAGGCTGCCACTTTGTCCAAACGATGGAATCCTTTGCATTATAGAAGCTTTCCAGTTTTTTTAGGTCCCATTTAATAATTATTGATCTTAGTGCCTACACTATTGGTGTTATGATCAGAAAGTCTTCTCCTGGGCCAATATGTTTAAGGCTATTCTCTACTTTCTCTTCTATCAGGTTCTGCTGCTGGCTGCAGAAATACCAAGTAGGGATTCAGCTGACTATGCAAATGGTAATACCTGGAAGAAGCCAAGGGCCTTCCAGAGGATAAAGCCAAGACTTAAGGAGTCTTAGTAATAATGGATTTTGAATATTAGCCTTTTCCTGCTATGAATTTCTTGTGTGCTATTGTAGCTTTTCCATTCCTAGAACAGTATGTTTGATCATTCATTGGGCACAATTTCCCCTTTACAATTAAAGTATTTGGATATACATCTCCCAACTGTGCTAAAAGCAATCACATAGCCAGACAGACCCCTAATTTC